GAAAACTATTAGAGCCTCCCCTGGGATAGTGCTTGGAGTGTGCTATAGACCACCGGGATCTAATCTGGATATGGATAGAGCCCTTTTCAATGCTTTTAATAAAGTAAATACAAATGGAAACTGTGTGATGACGGGAGACTTTAACTTCCCAGATACAGACTGGAAGACGAGTGCTAGTAATAATAATAGGGCTCAGATGTTCCTAGATGCGACAGCTGATGGATTCCTTCATCAAGTGGTTGCTGAACCTACTAGAGGGGATGCCATTTTAGCTTTGGTTTTGGTGAGTAGTGAGGACCTCATAGAAGAAATGGTTGTAGGGGATAATCTTGGCTCAAGTGATCATGAGCTAATTCAGTTCAAACTGAACGGAAGGATTAACAAAAATAAATCTGCGACTAGGGTTTTTGATTTCAAAAGGGCTGACTTTCAAAAATTAAGGCAATTAGTTAGGGAAGTGGATTGGACTGAAGAATTTATGGATCTAAAGGTAGAGGAGGCCTGGGATTACTTTAAATCAAAGCTGCAGAAGCTATCGGAAGCCTGCATCCCAAGAAAGGGGAAAAAATTCATAGGCAGGAGTTGTAGACCAAGCTGGATGAGCAAGCATCTCAGAGAGGTGATTAAGAAAAAGGAGAAAGCATACAAGGAGTGGAAGAAGGGAGGGATCAGCAAGGAAAGCTATCTTATTGAGGTCAGAACATGTAGGGATAAAGTGAGACAGGCTAAAAGTCAAGTAGAGTTGGACCTTGCAAAGGGAATTAAAACCACTATAAAAGGTCCTATAGCCATATAAATAAGAAGAAAACCATGCAAGAAGAAGTGGGACCGCTAAACACTGAGGATGGAGTGGAGGTCAAAGATAATCTAGTCATGGCCCAATATCTAAACAAATACTTTGCCTCAGTCTTTAATAAGACTAAAGAGGATCTTGGGGATAATGGTCGCATGACAAATGGGAATAGGACAACTGGAGGTAGATATTACCATGTCTGAGGTAGAAGAGAAACTCAAACAGCTTAATGGGATTAAATCGAGGGGCCCAGATAACCTTCATCCAAGAATACTACAGGAATTGGCACATGAAATTGCAAGCCCATTAGCAAGAATTTTTAAGGAATCTGTAAACTCAGGGGTTGTACCGTATGATTGGAGAATTGCTAACATAGTTCCTGTTTTTAAGAAAGGGAAAAAAAGTGATCCGGGTAACTATAGGCCTGTTAGTTTGACATCTGTAGTATGCAAGGTCTTGGAAAATATTTTGAAGGAGAAGGTAGTTAAGGACATTGAAGTCAATGGTAAATGGGACAAAATACAACATGGTTTTACAAAAGGTAGATCGTGCCAAACCAACCTGATCTCCTTCTTTGAGAAAGTAACAGATTTTTTAGACAAAGGAAACACAGTGGATCTAATTTACCTAAATTTCAGTAAGGCGTTTGATACCGTGCCACGTGGGGAATTATTAGTTAAACTGGATAAGATGGGGATCAATAGGAAAATTGAAAGGCGGACAAGGAATTGGTTAAAGGGGAGACTACAACGGGTCCTACTGAAAGGTGAACTGTCAGGCTGGAGGGAGATTACCAGTGGAGTTCCTCAAGGATCGGTTTTGGGACCAATCTTATTTAATCCTTTTATTACTGACCTCGGCACAAAAAGCGGGAGCGTGCTAATGAAGTTTGCGGATGATACAAAGCTGGGAGGTATTGCTAATTTAGAGAAGGACAGGGATATCCTACAGGAGGATTTGGATGACCTTGTAAACTGGAGTAATAGTAAAAGGATGAAATTTAATAGTGAGAAGTGTAAGGTCATGCATTTAGGGATTAATAACAAGAATTTTAGTTATAAGCTGGGGACGCATCAATTAGAAGTAACGGAGGAGGAGAAGGACCTTGGAGTATTGGTTGATCATAGGATGACTATGAGCCGCCAATGTGATATGGCCGTGAAAAAAGCTAATGCGGTCTTGGGATGCGTCAGGAGAGGTATTTCCAGTAGGGATAAGGAGGTTTTAGTACCGTTATACAAGGCACTGGTGAGACCTCACCTGGAATACTGTGCGCAGTTCTGGTCTCCCATGTTTAAGAAGGATGAATTCAAACTGGAACAGGTACAGAGAAGGGCTACTAGGATGATCCGAGGAATGGAAAACTTGTCTTACGAAAGGAGACTCTAGGAGCTTGGCTTGTTTAGCCTAACTAAAAGAAGGCTGAGGGGAGATAGGATTGCTCTCTCTAAATATATCAGAGGGATAAATACCGGAGAGGGAGAGGAATTATTTAAGCTCAGTACCAATGTGGACACAAGAACAAATGGATATAAACTGGCCCCCGGGAAATTTAGACTAGAAATTCGACGAAGGTTTCTAACCATCAGAGGAGTGAAATTTTGGAATAGCCTTCCAAGGGAAGCAGTGGGGGCAAAAGACCTATCTGGCTTTAAGATTAAACTCGCTAAGTTTATGGAGGAGATGGTATGACGGGATAACATGGTTTTGGTAATTAAATATTCATGGTAAATAGGCTCAATGGCCTGTGATGGGATATTAGATGGGGTGGGATCCGAGTTACCCAGGAAAGAATTTTCTGTAGTATCTGGCTGGTGAATCTTGCCCACGTGCTCAGGGTTTAGCCGATTGCCAAATTTGGGGTCGGGAAGGAATTTTCCTCCAGGGCAGATTGGAAGAGGCCCTGGAGGTTTTTTGCCTTCCTCTGTAGCACGGGGCACGGGTCACTTGCTGGAGGATTCTCTGCTCCTTGAAGTCTTTAAACCACAATTTGAGGACTTCAATAGCACAGACATAGGTGATGTTTTTTGCAGGAGTGGTGGGTGAAATTCTGTGGCCTGCGTTGTGCAGAAGGTCAGACTAGATGATCATAACGGTCCCTTCTGACCTAAATATCTATGAATCTTATCTGTACCCTGGTTCACCACCATGGTTCCTCTTTCCTCAAGAAAGATTTGATTTGTATAATACACTGTGCAGAGAAATAATGTGCAAAGAAATGTTAGACTCATGATAGAAACTTCTTTATTTCTAATGCTGAAAAAAACATTTGGCAGGGCAGTACATACAGGAGAGTAGGGTCCGTACATAATGGAGTCTTGAATTTTTAACGTACAGTAGCTTACGTCTCTCCGAGTGCTGCAGTTGCCATGGCAGAGGCAGGTATTTGTGGCACAATGTTATTCAATACATTATTAAACCACACCAAAAAATCTGAGTCAACTGCTGGTTTGAGAGCTTTGACCTGAGTGTTCCTTAATTAAAATGCTTATTTAAAACATACGACAGCTTAAGTGGATCACAGTATAAACCCTGCAAGTGGCTGACTATGGTTACATAACCTAGCAGGATTCTTGTACTTAAATATGCTCTCTGCTAACCAAAACAGAGCAATGGAAAGATACAATAACACATGCCCCGTGACTATAACAATGAAGAAACAAAGCCTTGGGTTTTTGTTGTTTATGGGATTGCCTTACCCCGCAGAATACTTTAAAAATCTAGCTGTTTTACAGCCCTCAGTCTTTAACTGTCTCTGTTCCTTTCTGATCTCCATAATGCCTTGAAACTGAAGTACTGACTGTCAGTGATCATGAGGGCAGTGGGTTTAAAAATAGTCCAAAGACATGTTTGTATTTTGCATTAGTCAGCTCTGTATATACTCAAAAAGGAAGTCACATTCATAACCTCACTGGGTAAACTGTACCATTTTTTACTAACAAAGCCACGTCCCTTCCTGAATACAGATGGAAAAGCTCAATATTATTCATATGAAGATCCAAGCCTCCTCTTAAGCAAGTAAAGTAGTTATTAACAAGAATGCAATTGGGCTTTTTCATCAGACATGTTTCAGCAAAGCACTGGAGAATGTTTCATCTGGGTTGTATTAGATAATCTAGCTCACTGTGCCAGGGCAAAACAAACCGATAAACAAGGCGGTGGCTCAGAAATTTGTGTCTAATCACGCATCTGTTTAATGTCTCTGCAGCCTTAGGGGTGGGGTTCCTGCCTTATGTCAGGAAAAGATGAATTGCCACGATAAGAAGATATGTTATCCATCCCTACGTTACCGACATAAGCGTTTGAGAGAGTAATTATCTTGGAAAAGGTATCTGTTTACAGGTAATGATGCTGTTAGTGTTTATCCATCTGTATGTTTTGTGTACACTCAGGGCCTGTCTCTGCAACCTTTACAGAAGAAGATCTCAAAGCACTTTGCAAACATGAATACACGGATCCTCACAACGTAATAGTATTGCATCTCACCATTTTGCAGGTGAAGGGTTTCTTCACAAAGGAGACACTGTCAGGGTTGTATGGAACAAGGGTTATTTATCTAGATCCTAAAGTATAGTGAGCATTTTCTAGACAAATACGGTTTGTGCCAAGAAGAGCTTACAATGATGATTAAAGAATCAGGGACTGAGGAGAGAGAAATGGAGAATGAGGGTAACAGTTACCCATTCATGAGTTTGCTGTGGTTACGGTTGTGGTTGGGGGAATTGGAGATACTTGTTTTGCAAAAAAGAAAAAAAAAAGGTGTTGGTTTTTTTGTTTTTTATCCAGTCGGCTTGAGACGGGGCCAAGGGGATGGGGGTGAAGAGCTGAATCTGTAAAGTAAGTGAAGGCAGGGAGGGAAATGGTGGGAGAGGAAATGGGAAAGGACATGGAGGAGAAGAGAGGAGTGGTCAGGAAGAGAGCAGTCCAGCAGCAGAGGGGTGTGGAAGTGTGAGAGAGCTGGGAAGATATCAGAAGTATCCATCAACAGAGTGTAGGGACAAGTCCCCGGGTACAAATGTTGAAGCTGAAGTGCTCTTATGATGCCAGGAAGCTGCTATGGTATGGAAACAGCTCCCATATTGCTAGCTGTAGGACACGGGGGACTGGCCAGTCTGAGGGGAAACCCAGGATGGGGCGACAGGTGGGCGTGCCTGTGAGCAGCTCCCATTTCCAACCTGCAGCCGGAACAAGCCGGGGGTAGGATTTTCGAGAGTTCCTTGTACTGTAAAGATCGTGCGGGTGGACTGGGCACGGGGGCAGGAGGTAGGAAAGGCCAGGTTCTTGTTAAGGGAGGCGGCTGCTGTGTTGTCTCAGGTGTAAGACGGTTTTACGCCTTCTACCGCCCCCAGCGCATTTCTGGCACTTACATACACCAGGGGAAAAGCAGGATCTGCTTTCAGAGGGAAGATGGGGTAAGTGCCCCCCGGTTCCGCTGCCTCTGGTCTGGGGTAAAGGAATAAGTGGATGTGAGCAGATGAAGCGGGCTGGGGGGGATTTGTTCCTGGGCCTGTTCCGCTGCCTGAACAGAGAAACAAAAATCAGTTTTCTGCTCTGACTTTAATTACCTTTGGCTCAGGGCCTACGTGACTAGGCAGCGCTAGGAAAGGAGGATGTGCGAGGTCCAGAATGAGATCAGCCCGGGCAGGGGGGCAAGGGTCCCCCTGCTCCCCTCCGACCCACACAGCGCGTCCCCCCCTTAAACTTCTCCTGGCCCCTTCGCCCCCGGACTGATGCCGCCTTTTGCGGCTCGATTTTTAAGCCGAGGGTGGGGTGGGGACAAGCGAGCCCCAGCTTTCCCCTCCAGGCCCCGCTCTGGCTCCAGGGTCCCCGCTGCCCGCCCGGCTGCCTGCGCCCCCCGGCCCGGAGAGCCCCCGGCGCCGCACTCACCTGGGCGCCGCGCTGCGCGCTCCGCCTCCTCGGGCTGCGGGCTGGGAACTGCGGCGGCGGCTGCCCCCGAGAGCCGGGGAGGGAGAGACGCGCACGGGGAGGAGCCGGGCGCCCGGCCCGGCCCCGTCTGGTTCCCTCCTGGCCCTGCCCCTGCTCACCCCCCGGCTCCGCCTGCCCTGCCCCCCTGCTGCCCCCCCACCCCACTGCCCTGCCCCCCCCAGTCCCTGCTCACCCCCCGGCTCCGCCTGCCCTGCCCCCCTGCTGCCCCCCCACCCCACTGCCCTGCCCCCCCCAGTCCCTCTCACCCCCGCTCCCCTTCCTCCCCCTCTCCCCCCACCCCACTCCCTCCCCCCACCCCTCTCACCCCCGGCTCCGCCTGCCCTCCCCCCTCTGCCCCCCCACCCTACTCCCTCCCCCCACAGACCCTCTCACCCCCGGCTCCGCCTGCCCTGCCCCCCTGCTGCCCCCCCACCCCACTCCCTCCCCCCACAGACCCTCTCACCCCCGCTCCGCCTGCCCTGCCCCCTGCTGCCCCCCCACCCCACCCCTCCCCCCACAACCCTGCTCACCCCCGCTCCGCCTACCCTCCCCCCTCTCCCCCCACCCCACACCCTCCCCCCCACCCCTCTCACCCCTCGGCTCCGCCTCCCTCCCCCCTGCTCCCCCCCACCCCACTCCCTCCCCCCAGTCCCTCTCACCCCCGGCTCCGCCTGCCCTGCCCCCCTGCTGCCCCCACACCCCACTGCCCTGCCCCCCACAGACCCTGCTCACCCCCGGCTCCGCCTGCCCTGCCCCCCTGCTGCCCCCCCACCCCACTGCCCTGCCCCCCACAGACCCTGCTCACCCCCGGCTCCGCCTGCCCTGCCCCCCTGCTGCCCCCCCCCACCCCACTGCCCTGCCCCCCACAGACCCTGCTCACCCCCGCCCGCCTGCCCTGCCCCCTGCTGCCCCCCACCCCACTCCCTCCCCCCCAGCCCTCCCCCCCACCCCACTCCCTCCCCCACAGACCTCCACCCCCCCCCACCTGCCCTCCCCCCTGCCCCCCCCCACCCCCTCCCTCCCCCCCAGACCCTCTCACCCCCCCCCCTCCCCCCCCCTCCCCCCCACCCCCAGCCCTCCCCCCAGCCCCTCTCACCCCCGCCCGCCTGCCCTCCCCCCTCTCCCCCCACCCCACTCCCTCCCCCCACAGACCCTGCTCACCCCCGCTCCGCCTGCCCTGCCCCCCTCTGCCCCCCACCCCACTCCCTGCCCCCCACAGACCCTGCTCACCCCCGGCTCCGCCTGCCCTGCCCCCCTGCTGCCCCCCCCACCCCACTGCCCTGCCCCCCACAGACCCTGCTCACCCCCGGCTCCGCCTGCCCTGCTCCCCTGCTGCCCCCCCACCCCACTGCCCTGCTCCCCCCAGTCCCTGCTGCCCCCCCACCCCACTGCCCTGCTCCCCACAGACCCTGCTCACCCCCCGGCTCCACCTGCCCTGCCCCCCTGCTGCCCCCCCACCCCACTGCCCTGCCCCCCACAGACCCTGCTCACCCCCCGGCTCCACCTGCCCTGCCCCCCTGCTGCCCCCCCCACCCCACTGCCCTGCCCCCCCAGTCCCTGCTCACCCCCCAACCCCACTGCCCTGCTCCCCACAGACCCTGCTCACCCCCCCGGCTCCACCTGCCCTGCTCCCCACAGACCCTGCTCACCCCCCGGCTCCGCCTGCCCTGCCCCCCTGCTGCCCCCCCACCCCACTGCCCTGCCCCCCCCCAGTCCCTGCTCACCCCCCCGGCTCCACCTGCCCTGCTCCCCACAGACCCTGCTCACCCCCGGCTCCGCCTGCCCTGCCCCCCCTGCTGCCCCCCCCACCCCACTGCCCTGCCCCCCACAGACCCTGCTCACCCCCCCGGCTCCACCTGCCCTGCTCCCCTGCTGCCCCCCCACCCCACTGCCCTGCCCCCCACAGACCCTGCTCACCCCCCGGCTCCACCTACCCTGCCCCCCACTGCCCTGCTTCCCTCCCCCACTGCCCCTACTCACCCCCAGCTTCACCTGCCCAGCCCCCTGATGCCCCAACCCAGCACCCCACAGCCCCTACTCACCCCCCAGCTCCACTCAGCCCTCCCCCAACCCACCCCACTGCCCCAATCCTACGCACCCCACTGCCCCAACAGCCCAGCCCTGCACCCCCAGTCCCCCACCGTCCAGCCTCACCCCCATTACCCCCAGCCCAGCCCCACACCCCTACTGCCCCTTCACCCCACAGCTGAGCCCTACACCTCCCCTACCCAACCCAGAACACATCCCAGTAACTGCCACGTAGCACTTGCTCTCATACGCATGCCCAGCCCTGTTCAAGCCAGCCCAGTAGGCCCCACTGCACAGCCTTGGTACCCAGTCTCCTCCATCCCCACATCTCAGCCCTCCAAACCCCTGCACCACACAACACGGCACCCACAACCCAATATCCACCACTTAACACCCCCCACTTCTCCATACAGCCCACTGCAGCCCCGCAGACCCTCTTCGAGCCACCCCTAATGTCCCATTCCTCCCCACACACACAGCCCCTCACATTATCCCAGGGCCTTTCGCAGTACAGCCTGCCTGTCCCTCCCAATATCATCATATAACATCCAGCCACTCCTCACACCCTCTCCAAAACCACAGCAGTCCCTACCCCGGTGCTCACCCTACATCCCCGAAGCCTCTTTGTAATTTCTAGTGCGAAGCAGAAACAGACCGCAGACCTCCAGATCCTGCCCCAGACACTAGCCTGCAGCCAATTATCCCCTGTTCCTGCTGCCCAACAGAGGAGAGCTATTGACTTTTGATTAACAAATAACGCATAATCCCAGACAAGAAGGTTTTTGAATTCTAGCAACACATAGAATCCACCTTTCCGCTCAGGCTCCGTCTAACAACGCAGAAGCAGGAGAAGAGGTCGGTTGTGGGCTTCTGCACTGAGTCTTCTAGTTGCAGGGTGCTGGTAAATTCCAGCCAGGATCTGCTGCTACTGGGTAGTCAATACTGCTCCTGAATACTTGATGTGTATGGAGGAGCTTCCAAATGAGGGTCTGAAAGATGCAGCTACTGTAGTGATATTAAAACAACGAGGAGTCCGGTGGCAACTTAATGACTAACAGATTTATTTGGGCATAAGCTTTCGTGAGTAACCCCCCTCCCCCCCCACTTCTTCAGATGCATGGAGTGATATTGGGGAATATGAGAAGCTGGAATAACACGAAAAAGAGATCGTATTAATACTGGCAGATAACGTGCATACGCCCAGCGTACGTTCAAGTTATTCCTCAGCACTGTAGGGCTGTATAGCTAAAACTGGCAAAACCATTTCCATTATAAACCCCTCCTTTTAGGGGATTACGCTTTAGCCATAAATATTCAGTTGTGCGATATAGTACATTTATAAAGTACAATGGGCTAGATGCCCAGCTGGTGTAAATCAGTGTAGCTTAATTGATTTACATTAGCTGAGGATCTGGCTCAATAGTTTTGCAATATTTTTAGGAATTAGATTCAGAAATTTTTTAAGATTGGGGTGGAGAGTAATGGGGGGGAATATGAAGGGGTACTGTCCATTATTTTAAGCTCAAAATTTGTTTGTAAACCCCGAAAAAACAAACAAACAACAACTCACTGCCACCAACAAAAAACAACAACAACAACTGTCTGATGCTGGTGCATGCTTTCGAAAATGGAAAGGGCTAGAAATAAAAGGAAACGGACAAATCTATTTTTAATTGCCTAAACGGAGTGGAGTGTAAATAATAAACAGCCCGAGAAAGTTGTCCTCTTCAAACAATGACTGCGAACTCTTTCGCTACGGAGGAGTGACAGAAATTCCGTAGGCCTGGTCTACACTTAAAGCTTACGTTAGTATTTCTATGTGTTAATCAGGAGCGTGGGGGGAAAAAAAACACACCCCAGCATAGGCGTAGCTGTGCCAACAAAAGAGGGCTTCTGTCAGCAAAGCTCAAGTTGTTTGGGGAGGTGACATTGGTAAACCGACAACATTCCTCCTGTTGGCGTGTGCTGCGTCTATGCTAGGCGGCTATGATGGCATGGCCTTTGTAATGTAGACATATCCATAGTTAAAGTTGCTACAGGGTTTCTTGTGTGTTTGTTTTTGTTCTCTACCTTGCTCTCCGCACCCCCTTTGCCTAATGACTCCTACCATGCAGATATAAGGCAAAAGAGCCTAAAACACAGGGTTGGGGATAGAAAACCCTCCATTCATAGCAACGAAAGCTTCTATTCTCATACAGTTATGCTCACTTGTGGTGTAAGTGGGCACAACTCCATTAAACTAAATACCCTTAATAACATAGGAGTGAAATTTACACCTGTGCAGAGAGCTGACACAAAGCTTATGGACTACTTACATCTTGCCTAAACTCTGGTTTTGGGACATAAAGGGGACCTATATCGAGCAGAAGATTTCCGTTGACCCCACTGCACCTCAGTGAATTTATTTCACCCTCTATCACAAATCTTTGCACACAGTCATAACCAAGCTAACTCAGAATTCCCATCAGATGAAACCCAAAGTTTTCTCTTTCCATTAGCCATTCTGAAAGATATTACTCTATTCCACACATGCTATTGTCTTGAGAATCTCTTTATATTCTTCTTGTCTATCATTTAAATGGAAAAATATCCTCTGAGTGTGAATTATTAATAATATGTCAGAATAAAGTATCTTCAAAGTAGCTTGCACATTATATGGAATCCTCACAGAACTCCACAGAGAGAGAGGAAGAGAGAGAGTCATCTAAGACACCATAAGAAGAAAGCTAAAATAATGTTTCAAATGCCTTTTACTTTAGCAAAGTAAACACTTTAAACTGTCAGTTTCGCTCATAACTAAGCTGGCCAAATCATTTTGATTTTCTCATTTCATTTTGCTTTGACCTTTATAGTGTAACAGTTTTTAACATTGTATTTATATTGTTTTGATTAAATGAAACTTTTCCATGTTTCCAAATCAGACTTTTTTTCAGAATTTCTGTTTTTTGTGGGGAAAAATTGGGTTTATGATTCCAATTCAGAGTGAAAACAAATTTTGAAATGTTGGAATTTTCTGCAGGATGGAAATTTCCTTTTTTTCCAACCAGCTGTTCTCTTAACAGAAATTCTCCTATGTCTTACAATGGACAAACATTAGTTTTGTAGGAAAACCCAAACAATGAATCACAATAAAACACAAAATGCAAAATGAGCCAACCAAAAGATAACAATGAATATTTTGGGTCCATTTTGCAGCAAAACACAATTTTTATTATTCTGCAAAGTAATATATGACTGTATCCATTTTTAATCTCATAAAAATATCACTTGTACTTCTAAGTGCATAAACCAAAACAAATCCTTCAATATTTATAGACTGTAAATACATATATAAATAAATACTCTGTAAATGTGAGGGGATTTTATTTTGTGCACATAAAGATTTCACTTTTACTTACAAATGTGTACAAACATACATATATGCATCTCTCTAGAGTATATAATATAGCATTTATTGAGCTTATTTCACGTCCAAGGACTCTCAGACTCTGTCACAAGCTTATCACACTGCTCTGCAATATGAAAATACATAATATTTCACAAATCCTACTTTGGTTTTGCTACACTAAAAATCCACGATCGAAAGACAACCACTGCTGGGGGTGAAATATGGGAACTGGTTACCAACACATGATATCAACATGATCAAGGAATCAAGATGGATGTATCCTCCTGAAACCAGCCGCCCAGGTTTAACTAGGGCAGCAAATTGCTATTACTCCAGTGGGAATTTAGGCCGGATATTGTGGCTGATACCTCCACTATTACGGAAGCTATTAGTAACCGCAATGGCTAGGACTTTGATTTTTATGTCTCATCCACAAGACTGCGCATTTCACTGATCTCTGAAATCCAAAAGCAGAGGAAGCTGAACTAGATTGGAGACAGTCTGAGATGGAATTTTGACACGTTTACTGAGTCCAATTATCTTTAGTCGGCAAGGGCCTGATCCAGTGCCTACTGAAGGGCATAGGAATCTTGCAGTTAACTTGTGGGTGGAGAATCAGGGCCCACATACTCAAAATGTAGACATAGGAAGGTCTTTGCATCTCATCCTGGTCTGTCTATCTTCTAGCCAACTGTGTTTAAAAACTGAGACTTCAAACTAGCGCTGGGCAACATTTTTCAGACACATACCTTATTTGCCAAAAAATGCAGTGTCTGTCAACCCAAAACTATTTGTGAATGTGACCCAAATAGTTGCAGTTGTAGAACATTTTTCAGGGTGTGTGTATGTCCATTCAGCCCACTTTATAACCTTTAGCCCAGCGGTTTAGAGCATCTTCCTGGGATGTGGAAGTGCAGAAGCTGTTCCACTTTTGTAAATACTTAAGTATTCACTGGGCCAAAGAGAGAGAATGACTCTCTAGTCTGGTGCTTAAGACACTCACCTGGAGGATAGGGGTTTGACCCCACATCTATCTCCCAGGTGATACATTTCAGATTTACTGATCAATTCCAAACAATTTTTGGAACAGAATGGAACTATTTTTGTTTCTGGACTTTCTTTTTTTCGATTTGCTTGGCTGAACCGGAAGATCAGTTATTTGCCCGGCTTTTATTTATAACCGATCAGTATCAAGCTCAGGAAATCGATTTTGACTTCAGAGGGCTTTGCATCCGGCCTGTGTGAAACTGGTATCTTTCTGCTCAACAGATCTGATCTGTGCAGATCATATTATGAGCTACTTTATTAACAAAACCAAAATTCTGTAGTACTGCCAACCCTAACCATTGAAAAATCATGAGTCGAAATCACATTTAAAAAAAACCCAACAGCTTTGGGTTCTGCTTCACTTTCTGGTTCCTGAGCCTTTAGGGTACGCTCAGATCACATTTTCAAGCTTTTCTATGCAACTATGTGGGTTAGTAGTAATAACTGTTCTTTCCTCTCCCTGATATTGCAAGTGAGCAAAGTTCTATTCTACATAATCTAGGATAGCATGAAACGAAGAATAAAAGCAGACTACCATCACAATAAGCCTGTTTCAGCGAGGGCCGAGGCACACGTGACCAAATCACAAATACCCGTCACATCATTGAAAAATGCAGTAAGTACAGTCACCTATTGGCCACGCTTCATTGACTATTCAGAAGCGTTTGATACTGGCTTTGGAGGATGCTGTCAGACATGGGGATTCCAAAGCACGTCACTGAAGTCATTGCAAGTCTTCACCACCACCACCAGGCCCTGGTGCAAACAACAGCAGGTGACCGTGAGAAGTTTTCAACTGGGAAGGGTATGAGGTAAAGATGTATTTTGTCTGCAGGCCTCGTTAACGTGTATGAAGAATTTATTATGACACAAGCCTAGGAAGGTTTTGACAAATTTCCCTTGGTAGTGTACTGTATATTTAGACCTGTCGACTGTATTTTCCACTCCATGCATCTGATGAAGTCGGTTCTAGCTCACGAAAGCTTATGCCCAAATAAATGTGTTAGTCTCTAAGGTGCCACAAGGATTCCTAGTTGTTTTTGCGGATACAGACTAACACGGCTACCCTTCTGAAATCTGTTTCCTTGGTAACTTATTCCAGTATTTAGGGGAAAATGTCTAGCTATAAGGATATATAAATATTTAAACAGGGAAGCTGAGATGAGATTTTCATGTAATCACTTGACCCCAGGAGCCTGGCCATTAGAAAAACACTAAAAATCACATGACTTGTGATAAAACCACGAGAGTTGGCAACACTGATTGATTTTTATTTCTTTTCTTTACTTCTGTTATCCCTTCAGATAAACACAGATGGTTTCTACTCTGCTCCACGCATCGACCGAATAATTAACTCCATCCTGATTGTGGAAGCTTTTATTATTTTTGGTGATGTTCAAGCCAGAAAGAACTCAGCGTGGCTTCTAGTTTCAGAATGAGTTTGTGGCACCAGCAATTGGGCTGCGGGAGGAAACCACTTCTAAATTGAGGAAATGGGATCCGAAGAAAGTGAAAGACCATCTGAAAGGCCACAATTTTTAGTGTCACTTTTTAGAGCTCTGTATCATAATCAGTGGAACTGGAGTCATGTTCTCTGGAGGGACTGTTATTGATGGGACACCAGGGGAAATGGGAATGTGGGATACCAGGGAGTTAGGCTGAAAGCAACTCAGCCATGCGGACAGAGTAGTCCACATGGTTTAATAAAGTTTTGCTTGTTCAACTTAACTTGTGTTCAGCTGCACATTTTTGTGAATGAAACAAGCATAACTACGCTTCCCTGTGTAATCCACTCTCATGTCCAAGTTTGAGGGTATAAGTGGGGATTTAATTGATGTATAGACTCTTGCTGTCCTTCTGGATAAGGGTGACTTTCACCCTTTATGAATAGGAAGCAAAATAAATAGGTTTGACTCTGGGATAGTCTGAGTAAGTGTGTGAGAGAGAGAGATCACAGAGTGTAAGAGGATTTCCATTGTACCATGCCACATGTATGTTTATCCTTCTGACAAGATTAAGTTCAACAGAATAACTGCCGCCTGCCAAGAAAACGGGATGCACTTTGCATTGCTTGAATCTGAATATCAGTACTGAGTAAATATTTATTTCCGGAGTAGAAGGCAATTTAAGTGTTGAATGTGATGAAGGCCAACAAGTGAAGGCATGTTGGACTGGATGGTTGTTTCCTAGGCTAAGAGGCCAAATTCATCCCTGGTGCAAATGTGCCGTAGTCATGTGATCCCACGTCTTGTTTTCCAGTATTTTTCAATAGATTTTGGGATTTGGGGGGCGGGGGGTACCTTCAACGGAAATATGTCATCAGTTGTACTTTGCAGGGATGTTTTGAATTAATTTTAATGGGCCAGATCCTCAATGCATATAAATCAGTCTTCTTCCATTGGCTTCAGCTGAGGTTCTGGCCTATCGTGTTTGTAAAACACCTGGGAGATGGGAAAACCTTCTTAGAACCCCCAATCCTAAACACACTGAAGTCGATGGGAATTTTTCTATTGATTTTTTCAAGGGCTGTAGACTAGATCCTAAAATTCTAATAATTGTGAAGTGCTTTGATGGATGGTGCTATAATTTTATATTATTAGCTCCAAACTATAGCAATAAAATGTTGTTGACAAACACCAATTAAATGAAAAACATTACCTTTTCTTTCACTGTATTTAAACAGCTTGTATTTTTAACATAGAAGTTAAGCCTCTGTGTCCAATGCAGGTTTGTACGCTGAAATGTATTTTTTTCTTGGTTTTGAACAGTCCAATTTCAAATGTCTCTTGGGATGGAACTTATAACCAAAGTCTATTTTATAGTCTTGCAGATCTCTCCATTAGGAAGCTGTTCCTCATACTCAACCTAATCTCAGCTCTGACACTGTCTCCTTCTGTGGCCTTTGTCAAATCACTTAACCTCCCTGTTGCTGTTTCCCCATCTGTAAAATGGAATTCTAGAAGTGTAGGGCTGGAAGGGACCTCCATAGGTCATCTAGTCCAGCCCTTTGCACCCAGGCAGTAACAAGTATTATCTAGATCATCACTGACAGGTGTTTGTCTAATCTGTTCTTAAAAACCTCCAGTGATGGAGATTCCATGACCTCCCTTAGTAATTTGTTACACTGCTTAACAACCTTTACAGTTAAGAAGTTTTTCCTAACATCTAACCTAAATCTCCTTTGCTGCAATTTAAGACCATTCCTTCTTGTTCTAGCCTCAGTGGTTAAGGAAAACAATTTATTATTCATCCTCTTTACAATAATCTTTTATGTACTCAAAGACTATTATCAGGTCCCACCTCAGTCGTCTCTTCTCCAGACTAAACAAACCCAATGTTTTCAATCTTTCCTTGTAGGTCATTATTGGCTAGATCTTTTAATCATTTTTGTCGCTGGCCTCTGGAGTTTTCTCCCATTTGTTCTCATCTTTTCTGAAGTGTGGTGCCCGGAACTGGACACAGTACTCCAGCTGAGGCCTTGTCAGTGCTGAGTAGAACGGAAGAATTATTTCTCATGTGTCGCTTACAACACTCCTGCTAATACAGCCCAGCATGATGTTTCTTTTTTTTTTTTTTGGCAACTGTTTAACACTGTTGACTTATATTGAGTTTGTGATCCACTATAACCTACAGAACCTTTTCTGCACTACTTCTTCCTAGGCAGTCATTTCCATTTTGTTTATTCCTTCCGAAGTGTAATTATTTGTCTTTGTCCTTATTGCATTTCATCCTATTTATTTCAGACCATTTCTCCCATTTGTCAAGATCATTTTGAATTCTAATCCTGTCCTCCCAGCTTGGTATTGTCTGCAAACTTGATAAGTGTACTCTCTATGCCATTATCCAAATAATTTATGAAGATATTGAAAAGAACCAGACCCAGGACAGATCCCTTCGGGACTCCTCTTGATATGCTCTTCCCAGATTGATTGTGAACCATTGGTAACTACATTCTGAGTATGCTTTTCCAACCAATTGTGCACGCACCTTGCAGTAAGCTCATCTAAGCTGTATTTCCCTGGTTTGTTTGTGAGATGGTCATGTGAGACAATATCAAAAACCTTACTGAGGTTGAGATAAATCACATCTACTGCTTTCCCCCCATCCCTAAGGCTTGTTACCCTGCCACAGAAGGATATTAGATTGGTTTGTCATGCTTTGTTCTTGACAATTCCATGTTGACTGCTACTTATTAGCTTATTATCTTCTACGTGCTTACAAATTGATTGGCTATTTACTCCATTATCTTTCCTTGTAGTGAAGTTGGCCTGACTGGTCTATATTTCCCTGGATTGTCCTTATTCCCCTTTTTTATATTAGGTACTATATTTGCCCTTTTCCAGTCCTTTGGGGTCTCTTCCATCCTCCATGATTCCTCAAAGATTCTTGGTAATGGCTCAGAGATCTCTTCAGTCTGTACCTTAAGTATATTAGCATGTATTTCATCAGGCCTTGCTGACCTGAAGACATCTAACTTGTGATTCTTAACTTGTTCTTTTCCTATTTTAGCCTCGGATCCTACATCATTTAGACCAGTGGTTCTCAAACTTGTATATTGGTGACCCCTTTCACACAACAAACTTCTGAGAGCGAACCCCCCCCCCCTTATAAATTAAAATACTTTTTTATATTTAGCACTATTATAAATGCTGGAGGTGAAGTGGGGTTTGGGGTGGAGGCTGACAACTTGGGACCCCTCATGTAATAACCTCTCGACCCCCTGAGGGGTCACAACCCCCAGCTTGAGAACTCCTGATTTATACTGATGTTCACTGTTAGTCATCAGATCACCGATAACCGTTTTTGTGAAAACTGAAACAAAAAAGGCATCTAACACTTCGGTCGTTGCTGCATTTTCTGTTGTTGTTTTTCCTTCCTCATTGAGTAATGGGTCTACGCTGTCCTTGGTCTTCCTCTTGTTTCTAATGTATGTATTAGAATGTTTTCTTGTTACCATTTATGTCCCTAGCTAGTTTAATCTCATTTTGTGCCTTTCCAATTTTATCCCTACATGCTTGTGTTGTTTTTTTCATATTCATCCTTTGTCATTTGACCTAGTTTCCACTTTTCACACGACTCGCTTTTTTTGAGTTTCAGTTGATTGAAGATGTCCTGATTAAGCCACGGTGGTCTCTTACGAAAGATAGGAAGTGTAGTATGCATTGGAATAGTTTACTCTTGTACCCTTAATAATGTCTCTCTTAAAAACTGCCAGGCGTACTAAGTTACGGCAACTTCAGCTACGTGAATAGCGTAGCTGAAGTCGACGTACTTAGATCTACTTTCCGCGGTGTCTTCACTGCAGTAAGTTGACGGCTGATGCTCTCCCGTCGACTCCACCTGTGTCTCTTGCCCCGGTGGAGTACCGGAGTTGACAGGAGAGTGCTCGGCGGTTGATTTATCTCATCTAGACTAGACACGATAAATAACCCCTGCTGTATCGATCGCTGCTCGTCGATCCAGCAGGTAATATAGACATGCCCTTAGACTTGCTTCCTATGGGATCTTCGCGATCAATTCTCTGAGTTTGCTGAAGTCTGCCTTCTTGAGGTTCGTTGTTTTTATTCTGCTGTTTTCCCTCCCACCATTCCTTAGAATTGTGGACTCATCATTTCATGATCACTTTCACCCAAGCTGCCTTCCACCTTCAAATTCTTAATCAGTCCCTCCCTATTTTTCAGAATCAAATCTAGAACAGCCTCTCCCCTTGTTGCTTTCTTCACCCTCTGTGATAAAAAGGTGTCTTCTCTACATTCGAAGAACTTGTTGGATAATCTGTGCCTTGCTGTGTTATTTTCCCATCAGATGTCTGCATAGTTCAAGTCCCACATCACCACCAAGTCATAGAAGGTTAGGGTGGGAAGTGACTTCAGGAGGTCATCTAGTCCAACCCCCTGCTTGAATCAGAACCAGTCCCCAATTTTTGCCCCAGATCTCTAAATGGCCCCCTCAAGGATTGAACTCACAGCCCTGGATTTAGCAGGCCAATGCTCAAACCACTGAGCTATCCCTCCTCCCTGTGTTGTGAATGACTTTGTTAGTTATTGGGGGGAAAAAACTCATCTGCCTCTTCTTCCTGGTTCGATAGTCTACAATAGACCCCTACCATGACCTTTGTTTTTACGTCTTTTATCCTTACTCAGAGGCTTTCAACAGGTCTGTCTCCCACTTCTATCTCAACCTCCGTGCAGGTGTATACATGTTTGATACACAAAGCAACTCCTCCCTTTTTGCATCTGCCTGGCCTTCTATACCATTATTCTAGTCATGTGAATGATCCCATCTAGTCTGCTGAATGTGTAATAATTGTGATTTTTCAGTTGTATTTCTACTTCTTCCTGTTTGTTCCCCTACTTCCTGCCCTAGTATATAGAAACCTAAGATGTTCATTAGATTTTCCCCTCTGTATTCCTTCTTGTCTTTCCTTTGTCCCTGCTGTCATTGTCCATGTTCCCCTCAGATTCCAACCCTCCACGTAGGTCTCTGTTTTGGACTGAACTGCGGGCTTTTTGTGTCTTGCCCCCATTGAACCTAGTTAAAAGCCCAGCTCGCTAGGTTAGCCAGTCTGTATCTATGTACTACAAGCCATCAAGAACACTATCCCCGATAATGTCACGGCTAACCTGGTGGCTGAACTTTGTGACTTTGTCCTTACCCATAACTATTTCACATTTGGGGACAATGTATACCTTCAGATCAGTGGCACTGCTATGGGTACCCGCATGGCC